GAGACCAGCAGGTCGAGGCTGCGGTGGCCGGGAGCGGCCACTGCACTCCAGTCTGGGTGACGGAGTGAGACTCCAACTAAAAAAAAAAAGAGACAGACTCTCGCTCTATCACCCAGGCTGGAGTGCAGTGGCACGATAATAGCTCACTGTTGCCTCCAACTCCTGAACTCAAGCAATCCTCCTGTCTCTGCCTCCCAAGTAACTGGGACTTTTGGTGTAGAGGCAAGGCTCTAGCTATATGCAGATTTGTCTTAAACTCCTGGCCTCAAGCAATCCTCCCACCTTGGACTCCCAAAACACTGGTAGCAAAGATACACAGGTGTGAGCCATCCCATCCAGCTACTGCTTTTTTTTTTTGGAGTTGGAATCTTACTCTGTCACCCAGGCTGGAGTGCAGTGGCATGCTCACTGTCACTGCAGCCTTCACCTGCTGGGCTCAGACTAATTTTTTGATTTATTATAGAGACAAGGTCTCGCCAAGTTGCCCAGGCTGGTCTTGAACCCCTGGGTTCAGGCAATCCTCTCACCTCTGCCTTCCAAAGTGCTGCCATGAGCCACACTCACTAGTTGTGTGATCTTCAACAGGTCCATTAACCTCTCTGTGCCTCATTTGACCTGTTCTGTAAATGAGGATAATGTCTACTTTAAGTTGCTGAGATTGAAATAATGTATTAAAACACTACATGGAAAGTACTTGACAACAGAGATTGTTATTACCTACCCTTTTCCCACCTTCCTTATTCAGAGAAAATAAGTATTAGACTTAGCAGGAGGCAAGACAAGATTCCTAAAATAGAGATGGCAAGAAGCCTCATTTCAAATTGTCCTTTGGACTTAGAAGGGGGCGGGGGAAGGGACCAAAAAAAAAAAAAAAAAAAAAATCACCTTTCAAGTACAATGTGCACAGATAAGGGTGGTGGATACACTTAAAGCCCAGGCAAAAACTATTTATACCTCCTATTGAAATAAAATAAATAAATAAGTAAAAATAAAAAATCAAATGATCCTTTGAGATTTTCTATGTAGTGGAGCAAGCTCCCTTGCTGTGATCTATTGAAAGTCAACCCTCAACACAACAATTTATTTTTTTAAAAAGAATAAAATGGACCTAAATTAATTTTGAGGGTATAGAGAGCCAACCCTGAGACATCCACAACAAATACCATTGTTTTGTTTTGTTTGTTTGTTTAGTAGAAGTCTCATGCTCACAGCCACCACAGCCTCAGCCTGCTGGGCTCACGTGATCCTTCTGTCTCAGTCTCCCAAGTAGCTGGAACCACAGACACATGCCACCACGCCCAGCTAATTTTTTTTTTTCAATTGTAGAGATGAGGTCTCACCAAGTTACCCAGGCTAGTCGTGAACCCTTAGACTCAGGCACTCCTCTTGCCTCCGCCTCATAAAGTGATGGGATTACAAGCACGAGCCACCACACCTGGCAATAAATACCTACACATTTGAAAGTGGCTACCAAATGGCACACATCCTTGCTTGCCTCCCACAGCTTTTGCTCAGCATATATTTAATCCATTAAATAAACAGATATAGACAATTGATTATGTGCCAGGCATTCTGCTCAACAAAGGGATAAGGAGCAAAAAGGGAAGGTGTTCCTTAACTGCTTGGAGGAAGAAATGAACTGATGAACACTGCACCTTTTCTGATATTTCTGAACCTGGTCATCAGTCATTTTTTAAATGTTGTTTCTCTTGTTTCACCTAAGATTTTCTTTACTGTGTCATTAGGTAGTGGGGTTTCCTGCAAAAAGCTCAACTCAAGTATGGTCAGTCCACTGTGGCTGAATGTGGCTAAAGGGTATATGTGTGCCCAACTGTTGTGTGAGTTTCAAACATTTCAAATTTTAAAAAAAGATACAAGGTGTTTATCATGATATGTATCAATGGTTTTACAGCATCACTGCTTATCACAGAGTTAATCAGAAACTATACAGATGTCCAAAGAGGTGAAAGACTAAGAAAATTCACATAATCAAGAGGACAAAATACTATATAGCAACTAACTCACATCTGCAGACTTTGTCAATTCATGGAAATATGTAGTGAAATGGAAAAACTAAAGGCAGAATGTAACCCACAATTGTAACAATGAAGATATATATGATACACACTTACAAAAGCTTAAAATGTATTTGGCCAGGTAAGAATATACTTTCCCTTCTAGGTAAGGTTGCCCATATTAATACATGCAATATAAGTAAATAAATAGCATGTGTATAGTAAACCCTGTTTTCTAAGCAAACGTATCCTACACCAGAGGGCAGAATGACTAGGGAAAATGACCTATCTAGTGACAAAGAGCACCACCAGAAAGGAGCACCATCTCTCAGTCATCACACTAATATGTGGTGACACTTTGGCAACGGACTCTTAGTTACTGGGGTGTACAGTTTAACCTACTACTTGGAAATGAATGGCAAATTTGGGATTTTTCTGAATTCGAGTTATTATTCAGAGCACCATACTCAACACAAACATTTGACCACTAGTGTCAGATTTTATTTTTACATGATAACCCCTCCATCTTTTAACAAGAGTGCATACAAGGTTAAAAAAAAAAATTCAGCCTGCTGGCTCTCCCTGCTATTGTGGTTCAATTCAATGCGGGATAGATCAAACTAGCTGATTCTCATTAGGAAAGAGAGTCCCTGGCTGTCTTTCACAAGTACATTGTGTTTGAAAACATAAAAACCTACCAAATCATTTGGTACTTAAAATTAACAACATCCTCATCATCTTGTGGTTTAAATGATGACTGAACAATAACTCAAGCTAGTTGTGTTCTATATTTCCTTTATTAATATAATTAGTATTCCTAGATCTTTTTAAATTGCTCTACTCTAGCCCTAGGGGAAAATGATTTCAAAAGGTTGAATGCATGTGCTGATTCAAGATATGCTTTCTCACACATCCAACCTCTATAATTTTGGATTATAGGGCAATAGAGAGTAATTCTGGCACCAACTCTTTGGCAATGTTGTTTAAAACCAAACGTACTATTACATAGCCTGTGCGGGCACGGCACAGAAGTATATTTGGGTAATACTTTTTCTTTACCATAAAAACTATGACCTTATTTTTTTAAATGATTAATTAAGAATATGGTAATTACGAGATTCCCGATTGACTCAAAATTTTAGAGCTAAAATCCAGGTAGAGCTCAAACACATCTTACAAGGACTTCAGATCAAATTGCATAAACTTTACAAAACTTTTTATTTACGAATTAAGTTTTCTGGTAATCTCTTTGGGGATATCAATATAATGAAAGAAAATTTTAAAATGACAATAACCATTAAAATTATTTGCCTTGTCCAAATGATCTGGGTGCCAATCCTGGCTATAAAACTTACCATCTTGAACTAAATATTTAATTTCTCTATGATTCAAACTTGCAGTCTATAAACATTAGAATCATTTAATATATAGTTTCTAAATTAAAACAATAAAGCAATTATAAATGATAAACATAAAACTGCTAAGAAGAGTATCAATCACTGCTAATGTATATTTATTATCTAGCAATTGGCTTCTTCAATGGGTACGTTTTTAAAAACAGCCTTTAATCATAGGAGACACGTTTTTGCACAACTTGTAAGCCATAGGGGTAATTACATATGACACAAATCTTACCAACAGAACTGTACTCCTTAAGATTAAAAGAAACTTGTAGAAATGATAGTTTTGCATAACAGGGCTAATTATACATGACAGAAATCTTACCGACAAAACTGCGCTGTTTTAGTTTAAAAGAGACGTGAAGAAATGAGAGGAACCGTCCAAGTCATACTTAAAGAAGCCCACACAAAAGGAAACTGAGAAGGATAAACCGACTTCTTTGGGAGTTCATCTTGGTGGAGAGGGACTAATATACACATCCCAGATAATCAACGTCTGCCAGGCCCAACCTGGCAGGACTCCAGAAACGCACAGGACTCGATGACACTGCACTGCAACGGAGGAGTTCAGTGAAATTCAGTTCTCCCTACTATTTCCGCGACAAAACAAAATAAAGCAAAACAAACAATCGCAGAAAGCAGCCTACACGCAGGGCACTGTCGGGTACGCCTCAGAGTAGACTCATGGGGAGGGGACATGAAGCGGGGGCGTATCTGATGAATGAACCGGGGGCTGCGGGGCTGGGAAGGTGTGCGCGAGGCGGACCCTACCTTTCACAGATCTCCCAATACTGTGTAAGTGAGTGATAGAACTGTAGTTTTGGGCAACAGTCTTCAAAAACGCTTCCATCCCTTCCTGGTGGTGGTATCTGAAATCCAGCGCAACTACCAAGGGCAGCAGCAGCCCTGGCCAGAGGCACGCGAAGTCCATGTTCTGGAGGCGAATACAAATAATAATAAGGCGGAGAACAGATGAAGGAAGGCGGCGGCATTACTGGCTCCGGCTCTGCCCCTTAGGCTCTGGGTCACCCGACACTAACGCTCCCTGCTTCCCGAGGAGGTCAAAGTTGGAAGCGACACCTTCGGGAGTCGCACCGGCAGCCTCGGCGCCCGCGATCCAGCTGCCCGTCCCCTCCGTGCCCCCCCACCTCCTGCTTCTCCCCCCCTACTCTCCCCCGGCGCCTCCGC